CTAAGCTGCAGCTGTCCTGTATCTCACCAAAGATTTGGAAATGATTCCCTCAGAAGGCATGGCTGTAAAGGCTCTCGAGCCTTACTGCTCTTTGTCAGGCCCAGCCATTTGCAAAATAGCCTTGCTACTACATTGCTGAACCATTTGCTTTAATTTTCCAGGGCTTGCATAGCTATACACAGGCTAGCCAAGTGTTCTTGTCCTACACGGCCTCTCAGTGATGTCTTCTCTTGGTGGCACATACCTCTTTGCTTTCCCACCACACCATTTAACAAACAGATACCACTCTGCCTAGATTGCTCTGCAGTGTATAATCGGAAGAAAACCAAAAGTGGCTACTACCGAATCAGGCCCAGAGCAGACCGAGAGCCTTTCCTGGTGTACTGTGACATGTCTGATGGAGGGGGGTGGACGATCATCCAACGGCGGAGTAACGGCAGGGAGAATTTCAACAGGTGGGTGCATCGTTGTTGCATCCAGAGGGCTTTCAGTCAGGCCAACAGCTCCCACCCCTGTCCTGCTGCCTGACAACCCCCCACCCTTGTGAAGCAGGATGTGCAAGACTATATATTAGTCTTGCATATTGGATGATTACTTAGGATTAGAGCAATCTGGTGGTACCTACTGGCAGCAAGAGGCCATTTTCAAATTGGACCTATCATATCCTTTCCATAGTTTTTCTGCATTTGAATGCATATTTGTTTTATCATTATTGGAGACTGTCAAAAGCTCCAAACTGGCAGGTATTTGCTGCCAGTGCATAGACTGAGATTTGTTGAACATACCTGTTTCCATATCAGGAATTATGTTCAGCATGTTGTAAGATTTATTACCATATTTAGATAATTCAAAAAGATGCCAAACCAGATTGTCCTTTCTTTATGCAAAGTCCCAGAGAGGTGACTTTCACACAGAAATTTACAGGAGGAGAGATGCTCTGGTAGCACAGTAAAGAAGAAATGTCCCCATGCAGGTTATTTCACTCTCACAGCACACAAAATTTCAGGGGTTATCTAGTGCCTCTTAAAGTCTGTTCAGTCCATTGCAAAACTACCTCAACTGACTCTAAGCTGGCTTGCCCAGAGAGTGATAGCTATCTGGCCATGGCAGTTCAAATGAATGGAAAACATCTCGAAGAGGAGCACTGACTAGTATGTAGGTCAGGTAGACTCAATATCCATAATAACAACATGAGAGAGGGAATAAATACAGGGTTACTAAAACTGGAAATGATGATACACAGAAAGTATATGTGAATATCAAAGATAATACATAAGTCATGTGAATTATGACTTGGTGAAGAACAATATTAGGTGTTTTGCTGAAGACCAATGTGACAGCTTCTGCTTTCCCTTTTCATCTAACTGACAACCTCACCCTGTGAGCATCACATCTGCCAGTTTGAAGGTTTGATCCCAATATATGTGTGTGCACAGGTTTAGCAGGAGAAAAAGTAAGCTCTGAGTTGTACTTACTTCTAAGGCAAAGTGACAAATCTCAGCTCAGCTTGTGATGAGTTGGATACTTTTAGAAAACAGTGTCTAGAAATACAGGTGAAATTTTACTTGTTACCATATCCAAGTGTCACAAACTGTCTAATTCCCTCACATGCTGAAATTGATATTTGTATCTCACTGCAGGACATGGGATGAATACAAACTGGGATTTGGGAGATTCCAGGGCAAGAATGACGAATACTGGCTGGGCAATGACCACATCTATGACCTGCTTGCTAGAGGTCCAAGTATTTTTCCTCTACAGATTTCTTTGTAATTTGCATTAGATAGTTCATCTAACAGGACACAACTTCATGTTTAGGAGAGAGCTCATTAAAGATTGAACTGATGGACTGGCATGGGGAAAGACGTTATGCAGTCTATGAAAATTTCCAACTTGCAAATGAGCAGGTAAGAAAGGGGGAGAGCCATGATTTGCTTGTTTTGGTCTGTGAGGGTGGTGCATCTCCATATGCAGCATCAGACCAGTATCAGGTTTGTAACTACAGCTCTGCGAAAGTTATCTTCTGTGGTTCCCTGGGCTTCCTAGTTTGTCTAACTGACACACAGTCCTGGGAGCAGGGACATAAACCTGGGATCTTTCCCTTACAACTGTGGAGTGTCAAAGTCACCAGGTGACAGAATCATGTGTGCATGCTCTCTTGCTATCTCTGCTGCGGCACTGAAGGCAGCTCTATGGTAGTGCATCTCTCTGCTGCAGGGCACAAAGAGATATGTTCTTGCCTCTAGTCTCATGGTTAAAAAAGTCTGCTGCGAGTGAGAAGACACTTAGGGTTTGAACCTCTGCAACAAAATGGAACCCTGTTCTCTTACTTCCTAAGGGAGTGTTTCAGACTGTCACATAAAAGGCAAGCACCAGAACAAACCCTCTCTACCTTGTTTTAAAATAAAACAGTGATCTTTAATCAAAGCCTTGAAAGAGCAGTTATAAGTTCCTATCTTGAAAAGAGGTACCTGTAGCACTACACCTCATGCTACAGACACAGAAAGCCCAAAGACAGAAACATCCTGTATTTCCATGTTTGCTTCCTAGATGTAGACAGCTTCCTGCTCCATACAGGTGCTGTTCTTTGCAGACTTGCCTTTCTGAACACCACATGCAAGTAGCCCAAATAAACAAGGACATGAGTTCCATTGCATGGACCAGTCCTAGTACTTCCATCACTGCTCCAGAAATGTACACATTATGCTCAGTTTGTGATTAGAGCTTTCTTATTAAAAGTTTGAACAGCTTCATTTTAATACCTTATTGCCATTTTTCATAAAGAAAGGAGGACTATGATGACAGGAGAAAGCCCACAACACAAAAGTAATCATCCATCTCATATCAAATGTCTCTTAGACCTGTTAGCTGTGCACAATGGAACTATTATTTTAATTACTCCTACCAGGACCAGATCATTTAGCCAGAAATCAGACAACTTCTAGTCCTTGGAAGAGCAAAATGCCTAAGAATTTATTCTAGCTGAACAACTGATCAGTTTGTGAAGGCAACTGCTTGGCACAGTTTTTTGCTAAGTTTGTTCTTGGTCAGCTAGAAAGAGCCTTTCATCTTGCTGTAGAGTGTATCAAGTGGTTGTTGAACCACGACAAACCTGAAGCCCTTTGTAGCAGCAGCAGTAATTAGCAATCCCTTCTGGAAGTTTAAATCCTTCATTGATCTACACTAGGATCATTAAAGCATGGAGACAAAAGTCACCCTTGACTTCAAAAGTGGATAAAATGGCCAGAGCAAATTTGATCTCAAAAATGGGAGGAAGGACAGAATGAGCTGATATCAAAGACATGTGTCACATATTCCTGCAGGACAATTACAGGTTATGGTTTGGCACGTATTCTGGTAACGCTGGCGACGCTCTGTCTGGTGGGAGCAATTTTGAAGATCAGTGGTCAGCCTCTCATAGAGGGATGCAGTTCACCACATTTGACAAGGATCACGATCGATTCCTGGCAGGCAACTGTGCATCAGAGAATAAGGGCGGTTGGTGGTTTAACAGGTATGGAAAATAGCTGATTCCTCTCGGATGAGTCGAGTGTGGGTGGCTGTACAGCTGAGAGGACTTGCCTGCCTTACAGCAGCTGGAGGTTGCTGTGTTCATTTGCCACTTTGCACAGCCAAACCTAAGATGTTCACACCTACAGATCCTCAAAGGAAAGCAAACTGCTTCTTTCATTATAGCAAAGCAGGTAAGTTGAATTCATTTTAAGAAATGGGCCACAGGTAAGTTGCATTCATTTTAGGAAAATGGGTCAGAACAAATGCATAGGCGCCAATGACCTGGAAGGAAAAAAGCCCAATTAAAATTCCTAAAAGTGCTTTGGGTTATACAAGCTGAAGTATGTACAAAGGACATTTCTCTGTTGTGGAGCAAGTCTAGGGGGTGAGCTATCCCATAATAGATGTGATGGTATATTTGCTAGTTGGACATATGACACACATCAATGGGCAGGGACTCAGGTTCACCTGCCCTGGGATCATGGACACACCACTCTCAGTTTTTCTCTGCTTTACTGCAGGATGAGCCCCTTTGGCCAGACCCTCATCACATAACAATTGAAATCAGTGAAGCTACATCAATAGTAGGATTTACCTTCATTAAAAGACATGTGCATTTTTAAGTGTCAATACAGAGCTGCCTACGCTTGAGGTAGAGCTTAACAAATGGCACTACACTCTTCTGTTTAGGCAATGTGGTTATAATGTCCATAATTAATACACCTTAAGGAGTCTACAGGTTGAATTCTGTGACTAGTGTAGGTGTCTGCTTTAGTATGACCCATATACTTGTTTGGGTTCCACTAAGTGCACTAACCACATCTCCATCCCACCCTGGTATTTCTAAATGTATGTTGTGTGAAAACTGTACTGCACTGCAATGATGCAATATCTTCCCACGCTAAGTATAATTCCCTTTTTCCCTCTCCTACATCGTTACAAGGTGCCATGCCGCAAACCTCAATGGACGATACTACAGAAGAGGAAGGTACAAGGGCTCCCATGACGATGGCATGGTTTGGTCTACGTGGCATGGGATGTGGTACTCGCTGAAATATTCAGCCATGAAAATCAGGGCTCCGTTCTTCATTGACAGTGAGAGCGGAGATGGAGAGAACAGTCAGGGCAGCTGAAACCTGCTGCTTTGGAAAGAGGAAAAGTACAGGCTGAAAAGAATTGTATAAGTTGATAGCTGGTTCTCTGCTGTTGCCAATTGCCAAACCTGCGCTGTGAAAACTGGAGTTGCACCTGCTTCTGCTACCTGAAGCTAACAGCACGAGTTGTTTGAGCATAGCCAGACAAAAATTTAACAGAAAACATATGGATCTCAGTCATGGGATAACCACAGATTTCTTTTTCAGCAGTTTTCAGGAATTTGTTGGAAAATGTTTATTAAAAGCTCTCTGGACTTGGAATGATCAAGCTAATAACCATGGCAATGTTGGATTAAGGGTTGGACTTGATCTTGGAGGTCTCTTCCAACCCAGTTGATTCTATGATTCTAAGCATGTCCTGTAATCTATCTATACTCTTCGAGGTCTAAACCTTTCTCATCTTGATTTTAAGCATCAGCACTTCAATTATGAGGACATCAAGAACAGAAAGAACAAAGCAATGGGAAGCTGGACTTCATTTGGTGTGCCTTTACCAGCGTTTTGTTCTGCCTCAGGAGATGTTTCTAAGCAACTCTCCCTATGGTTCTAAATTGCCACACTTCAGTATCAGAGTGCCTCTGGAGTGTGTGGAACCAAATGTGGATGGATGTGCTCCAGCTGCAAACGTACATCCAGACTAAGACTACTTCAAAGTAAACCTCCACAATAGGGACAATGTGGGCACTGGGTTCCATTGCCAACAGCTGGAGATCCACTGCTACAGCACACTGCAACACATTAATGCAAAGACAACCCTGCCGACCAGATTTAAGTCCCAGACTAAAATTAGGCAGATTTTACTAAATTTAGCTGAGCACAGATATTCTTAGGAGTTCCTAAAATGCAGACATGATTCATTTGTACATTCTCCTGTAATTTACCAGATGACTTCGAGTTAGTGAAAAGGAATTAGAAAGTAGAAAGTGGTTGAACCACAGGGCAGACTACTTTCATTGTCTCATTGGTGTGAAGCGAAAGAGCAATACAAATGACTGAAAGAAATGGAACACTGAAAGTTTATTTTCCACAAGTTGTTAACAGCAATGGTTAAAAATGAACAGCAGTATCAGCCTGATGCAAGTCACTTAACTATTGTGATGTAGAATAAGCCTATTTTTTTTTATGATTTACAATATTTTTTTTAACTGGTAGCTTTTTTCCATTTATTGGCTTTTAGGTCCATACATATTGTCATTTGTATGTACATCCATAAAGAACAAAATAAAACCAGCTGAGTAGGACTTAATACTTTTTATCTGGTTTTTAACAGTAGGAACTTGAGCAGAAAGTTGGATTAAAATCTTGTGAAGGTCATAATATGAGAAAAGCATTCCTTTGGTATTGGCTCCAATTCTTTTCTACTTGTTGTCCTAAGTAATTGAGAGGGTCTGCAAGGTAAGTTTAATTTCAATGGCTAAAGCTGTCCAGGAAACAGTGTAGAGACACGTGGTGCAGGTTCAGTATAAAATTTGGTTTGGTTACTCTGCTTTGTCAAGAGGTAAACCCTGTTCTCACTGCTTCCTAGACATCCCAGTGATTACAAATGTGAACACTGGAGTGCAGTGGGCAGCACTCTAGGGAGCCATGTTCCTAAAGTCTGTGCCCTTCACAAGACTGCAGCCCCACCCTTTTCCCAAGCATACCCACTTGGAATGAAATGTGCAGCTACCTGTCTGAAATGAGGTTGCCCTTGTGAAGAAAGAGCTGCAAAGAGCTAGCGCTTGCTATTTCCCTTCCGATCAATACTTCTGTGTTTTACTAGGGTAAAATCTTAGTGCAAGGTTGTAACTGCATGTTGGGAACATAAGAAATGACTTTGCACAGATTATAATTGTGTGGCCACTGATAAAGTGCTGAGGGCACTAAGGACGGCTTTTGTCTACATTGAAGTCCCAGAGAAAAGTGAGTGAAATCAGTTAATGCCTTCTGGCCAGTTATGCTAAATCCCATTTTTCAGTAGAGGGCTAAGGGAACAGGGTAAAGATTACAGACTGCAGAAACTACAGCACTGAAGGGACAGCATTAGCAATTTCACCCATCTGATAATGAAGTATCAAGCTGGAAATAAAGTCAGCAGGGCTTAGTCAGACAACTGCCACCTGGTCAAGTTCCTCAGTGAGTGAGCAATGAGTGATGTAAAGTCCAGACTATGGAGCCTGTTTCCCTCTATGTCAGTATGGAAAGACAGGCGTTACTGTTGGACTGCCTTCAGCCAGCATCAATGTTTTGGTGCTTTTTTCTGTCTCTGAGAGAGAAAGAGGGGACAAGGTATGAAAAGCTGGGAGGGAAGGGGTCTGCCTTGTTGTCTTTGTAAAATGTACCTAAGCACATTTAATGCATTACAGGAGCTGTTGTGAAGACAGCCCAATACTGGGAAGTTTGCAGGAAGCAGCATCTGATTTAGAGCAACACTCCCCCTTCCCTGCCCTCCTGTGGCACAGGGGACCCCCTTGGAGATGCAGAGGTCACAGGGCTTTGTGCAGGAGCCTTAAGCTCCCACAGCAAACCCCAGGAAGCATTTCAGAACCTCCTTTATCTCAATAAACAGGGTAAAATGCCACTAGCTGAGTACTTATTTGATCTGAGGGCTACTGCCAAGCTCAAATCACTCCCACTAAAGGTTAGGGGAATGCTTGCTGAATGTTGCTGTGCTGTACATTTGATCTCCTGTTTCTCCAGGGTTTCCCATGCTGAGAGGCTCAACAAAGCTTAAAAGATACTGTAGCCCTGCAGCTCCAAGTCTGACAGATCTCTGCTTCAGGGTGAATGTGCTTCATACTGCGAAGTTTACCTTATTACAGGGGTGGTGAGTAACCTGAGCAGCAATTGCTTCAGAGGTTTGATTTCCAGCTCATTTAAGTCAATTTAAAGACTCATTGCATTTGACTGCCTTTGGATAACTCTTCAAGCGTGGACACGTTCTTACATGCTTTAAACAGCATTTCAAGCTGACAGCTTGTGGGAACTCATAGCCAGTACAAATGCCATGCTGGGCCAAAGGCTGAACACCAACAATGTGCCCTGTTGGCACAGCTCCTGGGAAAGAGGGAGCTCACATCACCCTGCGAGTTGGATCCAGCACAGTACTCCAGCAGCAGCTTCAAAACTTCACCCATCAAAAAGACCATTCAAACAGCCAGGTTTGATTCTGGTGGCCAAATGCTGAGAGTCTTTTTGTTCCTAGGTTGTGACAGCAAGTGACACTGTGTGCCTGTCAAACTACCTGTGCATGCTTTGGACACTTCAGTGGGGTGCCATAACTGGCAGCTGACACACAGTGATGCTGCTCTTCCTTTAAAATTGCTGTTGCTTTGTGGGGGGTGGGGGAGGGGGAAGTGTGGGATGGGAAACCTATCTTTCTGCTCAGAAAGCCCATTCTGAGAAAGATAGCACCTCCTTCCAGAGAACAGAGCACATGCTAATTTTTCCTTCACACCCACAAGGCAGGCTAAAGGGCATGGAGGGTTAGGCTCCTTATGGGAGAGTTGATTTAAGACTGACAGTCCACCGCCTAAATCTATCTTCTCTCATACTTACCTCCATGGGCAGCACCTCCTCTTTTCTTGCTTTTGCCCACTAGTATCACCTTGCTCTTTGCAAGTCCCTGGAGAGACAGCTATCCCAACAAATGGCAAGCAAAGTCTCTAAGTCATTCTTTCTGGCCTGAGCTCTGGCTCTGTTGTTTAACCAGGTTTCCAACCCAACTGTGAATACTTGCAGCAACGTATAATGGCAAATTTGTGATCTCTAGTTTTAAAGCACAACAGATAAACCCACCATGGCTGTTGTACTTCACTGTTACTGCTCTCTACAAGTACCTGAAAGGAGCTTGTAGCACAGTGGGGGTCGGCCTCTTCTCCCAAGTAACAAGTCACAGGACCAGAGGAAATGGCCTCATATTGTGCCAGGGGAGGTTTAGATTGGATATGAGAAAAAAATTCTTCACTGAAAGGGTGGTCAGGCATCGGAACAGGTTGCCCAGGAAAGTGGTGGAATCACGGTCTCTGGAAGTGTTCAAAAAGCATGTGGATGTGGCACTTGGTGATATGGTTTAGTGGTAAACATGGTGGTGTTACGTTAATGGTTGAACTTGATGATTTTAGAGGTCTTTTCCAATCTCAATGATTCTGTGAGTCTATAAGATTCTCTGTGAATCACCACATGTTGTCATTTTATTTTGAATTTTTGTTAACATAACAGGTATTAACCAAATAATCTTGTTGTTTGCTGGTTTTGTTCATAATTTATTTTGAGCTTGCTGTAGTAGTATTGTTGTCAATATATTTACATTTAAAAATTAATAAAGGAAAGGATAATTATGGAAAGGATGCATGATTCAACAGTTCTCAGTGCTTTTTACAGGTAACATTCTGCAGTAACATTTCTGCAAGGACTAAAATCTGATCATCTGTTTTCTTTGCCCTCCCTGTAGCATGCCTTTTCTAAAAATTTCTTGCAAATATCTGTACATCATTGTTTTCCTGGCATAAATATTGACAGAAAGAAAATATCAAAGTCTTGAATGATGAAAGCTGCCTCCTCAATTTTAAATTCACTCCAAGTATTCAGCACCAATTGTTTGCACTTCCATGCAACCCGCTAAAAAACCCCCACCAGATGACTTATTTGAGCAACTACAACAGTTCAATGACGCTAACCAGAAAAATGATAAAAACTGCTCACCACTAGAAGTTTGTCCTTTCTAAATGGGAAATCATTCATTAATCAGGGCAGATGGCTGAGGATGCTGTACAATGGATGCCTCAGTATGTCACAGTCTACTAGTACAGAGTCCACAAGGTGTGAAAGGCTAGATCAGTGGCACTCATCATCTTTGATTCATGAAACATGACCACTTTAGGCAATAAAATCTATTGGCTATTCCTGGGTCATGTCTTCACTAACATGTGCTTTCCCAGCGTATTTTGTGTGTATTGTACACACATGCATACAAAAAAATATTATATGGAAGCATTTTTCAGTAATTAGAAAGGAATATGTTCCCACAAGCCAGATCTGGGGCATTATTCCCTCCTGCTCCATGTGAAGGTAATGTGATTCCTGTTGCTTCTTCTACTAGAAGCCAACTGATCCTGCAGATTCTCTACCACGCATGCCCCTCCTGCAGGGCTGCAATGAATCACTCAGATCACCAGCTTCTCAATGCTTAGAGTACTTGTTTCATCTTCTTCATTTGAACCAAAATACCCAGGGAGGTCAATCATCTGCTGCTCTGCCTCTGTTAAGCCAAAAGTACTATTATCATAAAAGGCAAACTCAGGGTCCAAGGGGAAGCTCTGGCACTTGTCCCTACGGTGCTGGGCAGGGCTTACACTCACGCCTCTCTGGGAATTATCTTTGCTATTTGAGCCTGTTTCTTTCTGCCACATGCCTCTGGGGTTAGGTGAAGGGCCCCTCTTACTTCGGCTGGGCTCAGGTTTTTCAGCTGCCTTCTCCTGACCAGCAGGCTGGTGGTCAGTGATCAGGTCCAGCTTCCTCACTGGGGGACCTGCCCTGTGGTGGGACTTTGTGCCATGGCCCTGTGGTTCACACCCCAGCACAGTGTTGTGGGGCTGATCCAGCTTTTCACATGCTGGATTAGCATTTCTGGATTTGGGCCGTGTCCTGTCCTGCAGGCTCTGGTCCCATGTCCTGGTCCTGGAGTTGTAGAGAGGAGTCTGTCGGGGTGTGACAGTGGACATGCTTCTCTCTCTGAAAGGCCTGGCCTTTTTAGTTTCATGGAAACTGGCTGTTCTTCTAAACTGTGAGTTTCTGTGACAGCCCCTCTCGGGTAAGTCTGCTCTGTTATCCTGGTGCTTGAAATGAGCTCTTCTTACTAGGGTTTGGGTAGGGCTCACTGCAGGATTGGCCTGTGAGAATGGAAAATCCAGCCTGGGGTGAGAGCTTTCCTCCAGCAATTTGTGCTGACCGGCTGACTGGTCCAGAAATGGAGATTTGATCCGAAATTTGTTTGCTGCTACCTCCTCCTGACTTTCCTGGCTCAGGGGAAGCATCGCGGTGGCACCAACAACTGTGTCCGTGAGGGGATTCTGAGAGACATGGTACACCTTAGTGGTCTCTGTCAGGCCTTTCTTCTTCATCTCTTTCAGCTGCTGTTGTGCCAGGCGGTAGCTGAAAATTGGAGGGATTATTTTTTGGGCATTTGGCTGCAAGTTTTCACTTCCAGAGGCATCATCTTCTTGGGCAAATTGGAGGCTTCGCCTATAGGTCAGAGGAATGTTAACA